CTTGCCGGGTTATTTATTACTTCGACACTCCTGCACTTGGAAGAAGACAATAATCTTTTAGTCGTGTCAACTGTCGATCTAAATTGCAAGGTATTTTTGAAATGCGAGTGACCTGAAATCTTAACCCAAGGTGATACTATATGTTAGGTAATAAAATAATTTTATTTATCTTTATGTCTTCTCTCCTCATGAGTCATGACCCTGAATAATGGCAGAGAAAAAAAAAATTGAAAAACCTTCCAAAAATCAAGATTCCAGCCAAGACCCACCATTACAAACTACTTCTTCAAGCTAGGAACTCAATAAAGAAAAGCAAGGAACAATCAGACAATCCAAGAGGAGAAAAAGCTGCCCTACAGTACTTGACAGGATTGAAGAATTCACTCCACCGAACTTTTCCTTCACTTTTGACACCCAATTCAGCACCTATTCTCAAGAATTCACACCCAAATTCGGATATTTCAACTTGGTGCCATCAACCAAAGAAAGATTGGATGATACTGTTCTGTGTTTTCATTAGAGCATAGAAAACAAAGAAGGCCATCAAGAAGACAAGATTGGATGATACCCTTCTCGTGTGCCCTCCTCCCCTCCTCTCTTCCTCGTCCCATAAAAGGAAAGAAAACCCAGAGCTCATCCATTCTCTTCTCGGGCATTGTCTGTCGGTGATTAGTTCTCTTGCATCACTCATTTATTTCGGCGATCTCTTCTCATGTATCGTCGTCTAGTGGTGACTAGTTCTCTTGCTTTACTCATGTATTTCGATGGTGTTTTTTTATTCTTTATTTATCGAACCCTGACTACATCATAGAAACAAAACTCCGATGGCTTCATCAACTATAATCTGCGAAACCCAGCCATGGAAGGAATTCAAGGTAAATAAAAAAATGCTTCTTATTTTTGAATTTTGTATCATATATATGAAGGAAAGAATCATCAGTATTTAATTGTTTATTTGCAGTCTCACGTTGAGAAAATTAAAAGGACTCATTTACGAGATCTGTTAAGCGACGCTGACCGATGCAAGTCAACGATCCTGTAAGTCTCTTTATAGTTCTCGTTACAACGAATTCAGTTTGTAAATTGTAATGCATGTGTGCATGTTGATTTCGACGGAATTACGCTTGACTGCTCGCGCCAACAAGATTTTTTTATCTAGCAGAGGTATGCATTGTTTTTTTTTTTTTGGTATAAAACAAAAATTCTAGAATTCTTACAAACATTAATTGGTCCGAAATATTTGTGAAGCAATTGATGTTGTTGAACATGTGGTGGCCGGAGAGGCTGGCCAAAACAGGAATTCTTTTTGTTCGTTTTCGAATGCTTGAAAGGATTTTTTGCAATGTAATTATCTGTGTAAGTTTTTTTTTTTCATGATACAGGTGGCCCATCTCAAGGAAAAGATTGATCGCATGCTCAATGGGGAGCTTGCGAGTTTGATTTTATTTCTGCATTCTATTTCATATTTATGTTTATGAGAAATTGGCGTACAGTATTTTTTTTTCCTGCGAAGAAATTCGTTGTCCTTCATGAATTTCTGAGGTGTGCTCCTAGATTTTTTCTTTATAATGCCTTACTTAACTGTCCCTTTTGTTAGAGCAAAGGGACATTACATGTCCAACTCTTTTGATTTTACTTGTTAATAATCATATCACTGATGTTTGCATTTTTTTTTTTTTTTGTTTTTTGTATTTTTTTGACAATAGGGCTGGATTCTTTATTGGAGACGGAGCTGCTGTGGGTAAAGGTAGAACAATTTGCGGGCTTGATATGGGAAAACTGGCACCATGCGAGGAGGAAAGCATTGTAAGTAAGTTTTGGGTGTTACACTCACTGATTTGCATGCAGACATTCAGTCTATCCTCGTCCTCTGTTCATTTTTTGTGGCTATTAATAGATTTTGAAGTCATTAATTTGCATTCACAGCTAGGAAGGATGCTATATTTCAACCCATGTTCTACAATGTTTTTCATCTTCTCTAAAGTTCTTACACAGGTGGATTTCTGTTGGTTCAGACTTGAAGTTGTTCGATGCAAGAAAAGACCTGGATGATGTCACGCACATATTGAAGGTATCTCAAGTCCTTGCTAGTTTATGTGATGATTTTATGAAATAACAATATTCTGTTTTAGCTATTCGACAGATGGGATAATGATTGAAGTAACATACTATTTGAAATCAGAATTATTTGTTCAAGATTGGGTGTGGTGTGGTTTGCTTTAATGTGTTGAGTTATCAGAATTTGGAAAACGAGAGTTTAGGGACCTGAGAGGATAGTTGTCTTGCTTTGGTGGTAGAATAAATGTTTTGTTAATTAAATCTTCTGCAATATTTTTATATGGATTAGAGGAGCAAATGCGTAAACGTCAGATGTGAGTATACAGCAAATATATTTGGAAATATATTTAGGTTTAGTTTTTGTTTTATCGTCGCTATAATTTTTGCTGTTGTTATTTTTCACATTAGCTTTTATTTGTGCTGAAGATCACTTTTGGCCTTGCCTTGTTTGGATATTTCTGAGTAGTGATTATCTCATTGTACAGCGTTTGCATGCATGCAAATCTTTTATTCTATTTGTAAAAGCGTGGTAAAGTAAGTAGAGAAGTTTCTCTTAATAATTATTGAAGAGAAATTATGTTGCATACAGGTATTGTGTATCACAGGGGGGTGGAGCTGACAAGAGATATTGATATGCCTTTTCTTTTCCTTTCCTATCCTTTTGTTTTGAGAGAAGGGGTAAAAGGGGATCGTTATTTCTATCGGCACTGGTGGCAGCTTCCTAGGTCCTCTTTTTGTGCACACTGCTCTTCAAACAAGTTTTCTGATGCTTTACTAAAGTTGCATCGTTCTGTTTTGGTGTCTTATTCTCATTGGATTTTGATTCTTTTTCATAATACAATTTTTTGACCTTGTTTTACAGCAGAAGCTTGCTTAAATTATAGTTGTTTACGAATGCAATCAGATCCAGAGGCTAGCAAATGTGCCGTGGAACGCCAACAGCGATTGTAAGCAATTCCATGTCACTATAACTTCAAAAATCTTAGTTTTTTGTGCTAGTTTTTTACAAGTCTCTCATCCAACACTCACAGAGGTAGGCTTATTCAAATTGTTTTAGCAAGGTCCGCTTCCTTTGAGCAATGATTATTGAGCTTGTTTGATAAATTTTAGAGCTTATTGTATCCCACCTTAATTATTGAAGAGGAGCTCTAAATCATTCATGTTTGAAATTTTACCCGGGATTCAGAGAAACTATGTTGCATACAGATATTGTGTGTCACAAGGGATGGAGCTGGCAAGACTTTTCTTTTCCTTGCCTATCCTTCTTTTTTAGAGAAGGGGTAAAAGGGAACATCCAAATGCTAGTTGTATCCTAGAAGTGGCTTTTTTTTACAGTGTATTTCAGGGGAACAGTGCATCATTTAACATGTTGCCCCTGAGTTAGAAGTACACCTCATGACTTCCTTCTAGAAGTGGTGTTAACCTACAGCGGGCATGTTTCATGTGTGGACAGGTAATCATAGGTGCATTCATGGTTCAAGGGGTCATCTTGGATGCTGTCTTTGACTGTGTCTATGCTTTTAAGACAACTGTGTCGTTAGATTGTTATGTGATGCACCTAATATTTTTTTTTTTTGTATTTGTCAGTCTTGCAAATATAGATCCAATTGATGTTGCTAGAAATATTGCAGGCCTCAAACCTGAAACTACTCTTGGTAAATAAAAGTTCATTTATTCATGTCAATAGTTGTGTTTTGTATTTCATTTACTTGAGCTCATTTTCCTACCTCAAATTCTAAATCTTGTTTTTTTCCCTCTTGTGTTTGTGATCACATGCAGTTGTTGTGGTCTCAAAAACCTCCACCAAAACTAAAACTATGCTGAATGCTCGAACACCGAGGGCGGCATGGATTTCAAAAGAGCTCTGGTCAGTGCAGAAATTATACTGGTCTTTCTTCTTTCTGAATTCTCAAAGTACCTACTATTGGATGATCTAGAAGTCAAGTTCAGAGCATCTTGGTAAAAATAAAAGATGAGAATTGATTTTTGTGAGAACAGTTTGCTTGCTTATAGATAGTTTGCATAAATGCTCCACCTCTCTCCCTCTCTCTTGTGTTTTTGAAGATGCATTTATATGCCTTGCAATTGCTGTCTCTCTTTCTGTGACTATAACGTGTGACCATTCTGTCACTTATTTTTAGATCCTCTGCAGTTGCCAAGCATGTGGTCGCAGTGAGCATTAATCTTGTGGTATAGCAAATTCATTTTGTCTGCACTCTCATATTCTTCAGACTTTGGGATAATTGAAGTTTTATGGTATTTCAAAATTCATTTTCGCTGCTCCCTTGTTATTGTTTTCTATTCATGGCTTTTCATTCTTCTTTTCATCTTTCAAAGATCCCTTTTTTTGGGTATTTAACCACTCTGGCTACTTGTATACTCCAACTGTCTTTTACTAATGCAGTTTGGGGGAAAGTTTGGCATCGATCCTATTAGCTTTTGCATTCTGGGACCGGGTTGGTGGCAGATTTAGTGGTGGGTTTTCTCTCATTTTGTGGACAGAATCATGGAGAACTTCATGCAGAATCCTAATTGTGTTGTTGCTTGCAGTTTGCAGTGTTTGTTGGTGTGTTGCCTTTGTCTCTCCAATATGGTTTCTCAATTGCTAGGAAGTATGGTAACTTCTGATCGTTTTAATTCACAAAGTTAGGTTTCTCTTGCACCGTTATTTTAGAGGCTGCAAGAAACAATGTCAAAAGTGGCAAGAGTTCTCAATCTCTAGCATAGAAAGATGTATAACATACAATTAATCACTTTTTTACCATGAAGTTTTTAAAGAGTTTGGCTTCGTTGATTCCCTCGATATCTACTTTAGTTTCCTACTCATCCCCTTGTTACTTGCATATAATGTGTTTGCTATTTTGTAGGATTTGTTTTATAGTGATAACAACTTTTATTTTTCTATTTGAAGGTTCTTGAAAGGAGCACAAAGCATTGATCAGCATTCATATTCTGCACCATTTGAAAAAAATCTACCTGTAAGTGCTCCAATACCATGAACAATTATCAGATCTATATTCTGCTTGTCCTAAAATCATTCTTTATCAATGGTGTTGAATCACATTTAACATGTGATTATCCATTTTGTATGGTGTTTAATACATTGTTTGAGGTCCTCTTGGTTATTGAGGAAGTTAGTATGGTGCTCTATCATTTGCCTTTTGATTATTCATTTGAGGCATTATCTGGTGAGGCATGAGTTTTTGATATGCTTTATGAGATTCCAGTTACATGTTGATAACATTTTGACTTTCTCCTTCAGGTACTTTTAGGTCTGTTAAGTGTGTGAAATGTTTTATTTTTTGGATATCCTCCCAAGATCTATTTGAATTGCGACTAATTTTTAGAATTCTTAATAACTGTAGCTTTACGAGTCGTCTACTCTTTTAGACCATCTTACCTTATTCTAAAGCTGTGAAGAAATTTGCACTTCACATTCAACAAGCAAGCCTACT